GTGGCCCAAGAACACAGGCTAGTCAGAAAACAGAGAAAGCAGGAAGAGGGGCATTTACAATCAGTCAAGGAAGCAAAAAAGCACCCTGAAGTACAACTGGACATCACCAAGATTGAGACTGTACAGTTCTGATGCTGAGAATCAGTACTACCACAACCTGAATGGCGCAGCAGGTTTGGGGGGGCTAAAGCTGAGGTAACTGTTTCCCTTATACTGTGATTCTTTAAGAGACCCTGCTAGGGATCCCTTGAGTATGCTGAATCCCTTTCCCTCCCACACCAACCTCACATTATAGACAAATGAGATTTCAGGAGACACTCATTCCTACTAGCTGCTCTGAGGACCTTCTCTTGGATGTCAAATCTAGGAAATCCTCAAACTTCTGTTTCTGAATGTTTGTTGGGCTCTGTAGCATACATGATCACAGACCCAGTAGCTGGCACCCACAACCAGAGAAAAGCCAGAGAGAAGATTCACCAGCCTCTGATCTGACTCTTTCCCAAATATTACCTACCACCTCAGCCCTGAAAGATAACTGGGGGCTGAAGAGTCTTAAGGACACCATGAGCTTACCTCCTACTAGGATGCCAGCAGCTGCTTTAACCACACAGTATAAAGACTAAGAGAGTCCAAGGAGAGGTAGCTACCTAGCTGATAAATGTAGACTCTGGCTGCTTAAAGAGAGAGGCAGAATAGATCTTCAGAGATGAAGATGCCAACTCCAGCCTGTCCAGGCCCACTTACACCCTGATTACCAGGCTTACTACGTCCAAAGAGAACAACCACAGCCCTGCTCAGCCCCACCCAACCCCACCCAACCCCCAAGGGTGGAGAAAGCAGGGTTCCCAGAACCAGCTGTTGGTAAGCACTTGCCAGGAACTGCCAGAAAGATAGCAGCTGTCCCAAAACAGTGTCAGGCCCGACCCAGGGGCCCGAGACCCTGTTCCTCAAACCTGAAGTGTGTACCAACTTCTCAGCAACAAAGACAAATGTGGCAGAGCTGACTCTGCCTGCTTGACAGATGAGAAAATATGCAACTTCAGTCAAGGCTACACAGCTAGCAATTAGACATCAGTCAAAAGCTGGCCTCCTTACTGGCCATCTGCATGCTAGACTGGGTTGGGCATCTTCATGCTGAGTGGGCAGTTATACCAACTGTTACCTATAGCCCAGGTCCTGTACTGAACCCATGCAACTACTTGCTCTGTCTGAACCCATACAAACAAGGATGGAAGAATGTGGCCAGGAGAGCCTGAGATCCACAGTGACTCATACTCAGAGAGAGCACTGCTATACTGCAGGAGAAGGCAAATCAAGCCAAGCGGTTGCCTATTTACCAGACCAAAGACTCTGAAAACAACCAAGCATGCCTATACTAGGCACTGGTGACCAGGCAAGAATAGGAGCTGCTACAGGCCTTTACTCTTCCTGACATTCCACAGGTGGGAAAACAGAGACCTTGAAAAAGCAATAACCAAGCTGTCCAGCAGTGGTGCATGCCTTTAATCCCAACAGAGGCACAGGTAGGAGGATCTCTGTGAGTTGGACGCCAGCCTGAGTGAGCTCCAGGACAGCTTAGGCTACACAGAGAAATCCTGTCTCAAAAAAAAAAAAAAAAGAAAAAAAGAAAAGAAAAGAAAGAGAAGGGATGAGTGAGCCTAAAAGAAAGACCATGCCTAAAATAGGTCACTGGTTGGATGTACAGAGAGATGACAGAACACAAAAGCAAAACCCAGAGTGGCTAGAGAACTGCATCTAACAGGCTTCTACCCTGTTCTTCTGTGGAAGCTACCCTACAGTCACCCTACCAAATTGGCACCCTCTTACCTCTCTATTCCACACTAACTGCCTGGCCTGCAAGCTTGGCCTGAGTCAGGAGGAATTAGAGTACAGCAAGTAGGGGCACCTCTACCTGCTCTGCTTCTAGGGACAGGAACTGCAGATCCAGGCAAGGATGGGAAGTACAGCATGCCCAGAGTCTACTGGCCAGGAGACAAGGGTGGCCAAGCCTGCTTTCCTTCTCCCCTAACACCCAGCAGCAGGAAACAGGGATTGTCACTGCCATTCACAGGCTCTAGGCTGGGACTTCCTGCTTTTGAATAAACGAATGAACTAGCCAATGACCAAAAGGACACAGGTCAGAGGAAAGAGGAGTGCTCTGCCTTTAAAGCCCGTCTCTCCCATAGGTTCATTCTTGACTATCAAACTTCTATCTTTCAAGAGTGGCATCTTCATCTTTAAACAGTGCTTCTTGGACTAACTCATAACAATATTCTTGGAGGCACAGGACCAAGAGCTTGAGAAGCAGATGACAGACAAGTGATGGGCATTCATGCTGTTCATCATGGTTTTTTTTTTTAAATTCCTACCCCATCCCCCACTTTAAGTGTGATTATGGCCATGTGACTTGGTGCAACCAATGAAATACCACTTATAGGTAGATGCTTTAAACGCCAAGACAAGACTCATCAGAATATCTCTATGGGGCTAGAAATATGAATTGGTCCTACAATGATGGCAACATAAAACAGGGTGTGATGTATATGTGGAGACAGCAAAAGCAATTAAAACAAGAGAACAATAACAAGAAAGACTTGTTGCTTTAAGCCTCTGAAGGTTGAAGTTTGCTATTAACAACATCAAACCCTGATCTCTACTTACAGAAAGCTCTCCAGCCCTCCCCATCCCCTACACATGCAATCCTGTGGCCTTGTGGGGCAGACACTACAGTGTCAGTCAAATTAGCAGGGATCCAGGGTTGGTATGTAGCTATCATGTTAGATGGGTAAACTTTGGAAACTGGGCCTTAAGGAAACCTATACTGAAGAACTCAGTAGCTCTGCCTTGGGCCAGGCTTGTTCACTACGTTTAAGCACCTCCAGAAAGAAAGTGTTGTCTAAATGAGAAACTTCCAGGAAATCACTCTGACCTTTCTGGGCCATAGTTTTCTCATTTGTAAAATCAGGTAGCTAATGTCTACCACATTTGGGTTGTTTCAAGGATTAAACAATTAAAGTAAGGCTGGGACAGTAGACTGCTTGATATGTTTCCATAAATACCAAGAAGCTTTGAAAACCCCACCATTATGCCATGTAACACCTGTAAGCTTGTTCTTAAATTTACTGGGTTTTAAGCCAGCAAAGGGACTTTCAAGACTGGTATACTGGCATTTTTAGGCACTGTAAAAATTAATTGTGTTTAACTCTTTAGCTAAAATTAAACAAGGTCCGAATCCCTAGGCACATGGTGGCCTAGAATAAGGTCCCCGGAAGTGGTTTGAGAACCCAGGGCTTCCCTGCACCCTGGCCTCTTTGTAACATCACCTCATTTTTATAACCTGCAGGGCAAGCTCCTCCCCGCCCACACAAGGCATGAGTTTCATCTTCCATTACAAACATGTGACAAGAAGCCCTCACCTGTCCTGAGAGATGAGCTAGCACAGCTGCCCTCAGAAAGAGACAGAAGGAGAATCTTCCCACGGCAGCCAACCCTTCCCTCTCAGCGCCTTTTCTAGGGGACAGCCACAAACCTCTGGAGGACCAGTGGCTAAGACTGTTTGACTAAATGAAGCAACTAATCCTAGATCAAGTGCATATCAGTGACTACCGCTGAGCACCTAGGGCAGGCCCACCACACAAGGCTTACAGATGTGAGCCCAGAGAGTATCTACCATAGCACAGAGCACCCCAGTCCAAAGAGACCCAGAAATGCAGAAAGCGATGCTATCAAGCCAATCACCAACTAAAGGTGTACAACAAACACAAATAAGGATAAAATACACCTAGTGACATAAGTTTCCAACTCAAGAAACTGAGGGAGAAGGCTCATGAATTCAAGGCAACCCTGGGTTACACAAAACCCTGACAACAACAACAAAAAAAACCCACAAGACTTGGGGACGGCTAAGGGAGGAGCCAGAGAGCAGAAGTCTGGGCTTCATTCTAAGGGTTCCAGGGCCCAGGAGGAGTTTTGAAATAAAAGGTGTCTCCAGCAACCTCTGAGCTGTTTGAATGTGGGGCCCCAGATTTCCTTTCATAAATGAGGAAGCACTCAGCAGGCACCAACTTCCACTCAGAAATCAAGGGGCTGTGTGGAAATTGTCTAGGATTTGGCAAGCAACTGACCTAAATCCACCAGTCCCTTAGGGGTGACCACCTAAAGAGCTGAGATCACACCTGCTACAGGCTCCAGCCCAGTGTCCTGCACACGCTACCCAACACAGCTCCATGTCCCAGAACACCGGCGTCCTGATACAGTCACCGTAGCTCTACAACCAGCTCCCAGCAAGCATTAGCTGAAGACACTGAGTTCTGAGGACACTGACTACCTCTCACTGGAGACCTAGTTCCAGTCCTCCAGAGTTTCTGTGGTTCAGGGGCCGAAGTCCCCAAATGTGCACTCTGCCCACTCTCTGCACTGCACACCCAGGAGGGAAGGGAATAGAGGGTCCAACCTGAGTGAGCAAAGACACAGCCAGAACCACGACTTGGCCAAAGCTTGGGCTAGGTCACGGGTCGGGCTCTGCTTCCAAACAGTCTTTAGCGACCAGCACCGAGAAGCCAGGGTCGCAACCTCCTCAAACTCTAGCCGGACAGCGTGGGACCCCGTGATAGCGAGCACACCCAGGGTGGGTGGGGGCTGGGCGACTGTCCCCTCATCCGGGATCGAAGCTTAATAAGGCGCCTTCCCCTGGGCTCGCAGGTGAGGACAGGCAGCAGCCGGGAACAGACACACCTTCCGGGGAGCCCGCCGCGCCTCCCACTCGATACAGCGTCCCAGTTCGGCTCAGCGGGTTCCCGGCCGCGGCCTCTAGAGCTCGCGGGCGGTCTCAGTAGACAAAGCCCGCGCCACCCGCGGGGCCGCCCCCGCCAGGCAAAGGAGCCCGGGGGCCGAGCGGGAAGACGGGGAGCAGCCTCCGTCCCGAGAGGACGCTCAGGAGGGCTGGCCCGAGACAATAAGAACAGGCCCGACGCTGCAGCGAGGCCACGCGTTCTACTTACCCGGGCGCGGCAGCAGCGGCGGCAGCGCGGCCCGGTTGGCCGAGGAAGTTAGAGCAAGTTCGGCGGCGCCGAGCGGGAGGGCGCGACTCGGGCTGTCCGAGCGGCGGGGGCGGGGCGCGGAGGGGCGGGGCCGCGGTGGAAAAAGAGGCGCCGCTTCCTTGCACGGCTCAGCCGCCCCGCGCCTCTGGCCCACCCAGGCCCCGCCCCCGCTCTTTGCTCCTCCCATACAGGCACCGCCCTATGTTTCGCTCCTCCCCTCCAACCAAGGCCTGGCTCCCACCGCTCGCTCCGCCCCCTGTGCCGTCAGCCCACAGCCCACCGCTGACTGCCCCCGCCCACATTGATGTCCCCGCCTTCTCTACGCCCCGCCTATGCTCCGCCCCGGGTCGCTGCGCTCCACCCCCACCGTGCACCCCGCCCTACAAGTGGTCTGCCATAGGTAACGAGGCGGATAGTTGACCCGCCCCTTTGTCCGACTCTGGGCGGTGCCCCAAGCGGGATTTACCCGGTTCCGCCCTCTCTGTGGCTCCGCGATGCTGTCGAAGCCAATCACTTGTTGGCTGCAGTGTTGAGCGCTTGGCTAAGTTACGCTGCGCAAATGCCCCTCTGGTCTTGGCCCTTGACCAGGCGGGAGCCGAGCCAGCAAGAAATGAGAGTTGCAGGATGCCTGTCTCAAGGGATGCACGAGGTGGCTGGGAGGTGGAAGAAAATTGGGGAAACGGCTAGTTTTAAGGTGGAAGGCATTCCTGCCCAGCCTTGGGTGCCGGGGGGGTGGGGGGTAATCTTATAGAAACTGGTAGTTGACATTTCTTTATAGCCACGCCGTAAAGACTCACTCCTTCCAGTCTCGATGCTAAAAATACCAAGCTTCCTTTGGATGGCCTGCTGTGATTTGCTCATCACCTTTATGCTGAGGAGATAGCTGGGCTGATTCTTGGAAGTGGAAAGCCACAAGGACAGGCAGATAGATTTACAGTGGTGTCCACACCGCTGTGATGAAAAGGCCGACCTCGTCCCAGCCTCGATCTGCTTGTCTATAGAGCAAAACATAACCTTGTGCTGCTTGATAAACTCATATAGGTTTGTAGGAGCTGAAGACAGATCTGCTCCTCCTGGGCAACACAAAAGTGGCATCAGACTGGGGCTGTGTTTTAACACACGCCGCCAACAGGTTAAGTTCATTGTAAAGAGAAAAAAAAAATCTAGAAATAGAATGTACCTTTCCCCTGTTTGTTGTGGTTATTTAACAACGGGGATGTAGCTTGTTTCTAGAATACTCCAGATAGCTCAAAGGACCTCTCTGACAAGGAAACCTGTCCATATTGTCACCTCTAGCTAACCAAAATGCATGATGTGTGAGCACCAGACCTTGTGTTATCCAGGGAATGCAGCAGCTAAAACCTCTCCCTCTACATAGTTACTTTTCAGTAGAAAAGATAAATCATTTCAAGATGAAATCAAGCCTGTGACAAAGACAAAGGTCTGGGATAAAATAAGGTCAGGGAAAGGTAAGAGGTTGACCTTGAAACTGAAAGCAAAAGAATGAAGAGTTGGGGGCTGGGCAGTGGCAGTTGGTTCAGAAAGTACTAGTTTCCAGCAGAGGTCCCAAGGCCTTGATAAGGGCACACTCTAATGTGTCAAGGAGCTGGAAGAAAACTAGATGGCTACTGTCAGGCTACTGTTGGGTACAAGGCTGGGTGGGGATGGAGTGGAGACAGGACAGAACAGGTCTATAAACTGTCAAATGATGGAGCATTTTTTTGTTTTTGTTAAGCCATTGAAAGGTTTATGGGAAAGACTAACATTCTGATTTTCTGCTGTGAGAAGAATAAATGTAGTAGTTGTCAGACAAAAATTAAAAGCAGCAAGCCAATTAAACTCTTGCCTTAATCCAAGCCAAGTATGAAGGAGTTTTGAACTGAAGTGGTGGGTGTGTTAAGATGAATAGTTGAGAGATACTGTTTTGGATTTAAGACCAAAAGGAGGGATGCAGGAGGAGGAAGTGTAGAAACAAAAAGGATAGTTTTTAAGTGTCTTACTGTGAGTGAGCAAACAGTCCCTCGTCTATTGGGTGGGCTAGCCTGGAGGAAGACCGCTTTCAGGATGACCATCGACAATCTCATTTTGGCCATATTGACTTGGTGCTGCCTGATAGACACCAGGGGTTGTTGTCCAGTCACTAAGAGCACAGAAGAAGGGTGTGGACTAAAGGTGCATTCTGGGAGATCATCGGGTAGTATAGAACATAGGAGCTGAGAAGGACACCTTACAGGAGGAAAGGTAGATGCAGAAGAGAAGGTTTGTTCCATGGGGACCCAGTGAGTGAGAGGGGATAGAAGGCAAGAAAAGAACACTGAAAGGCAGGCTGGGAGGCCAGAGGAGAACAAAGGATGCTAGATGCCGCGCCCAAGACTGAGAAGGCTGTTTCCAGAAAGGACTTAGCTGTTAGATGCTGCTTGGAGCTCAGGTAAGATAAGGTCAGAGAAGTGTCCATTGCTTTTAACAGCACAAAGCCATTGGTAAACATGCTAACAGCATTGCTTCTGGTATGGTGGGATGGAAGCCAGACAGCAGTAGAGCTATTGTACATTAATAACCTAATAGGAGACAAAGAACCATGAGTGATCCAGGCCTTGCTGGGGGCGGGGGCAGGGGGGGAATGGCTAGGCAGCCCTAATCACCATCTCTCTTTTTGCCTTTCCTAGCATAATTTCCAATTCTATCTGGCCACATACATGGCTTCACAAAATAAAGGCAAATGTTATGACCACATGACTCAGTTCCAGCCAATAGAAAATGGAAGAGTCCATGTGCAAATTCTAAACTGGCTTTAAAGAGAAGCAACGTGTTTTCCTTGATCAGCATTCCTTCCAGGAATGTACTGATGAAATACATGGCTCGAGTAGCCATGGGTGTCTGTAGCAGAAGTCATGTGTTGAGGATGTTGACAAACCAAATTAGGATAACTGGGTTCTCAAGACCTAGAGAATCACCTCTTCTGAGCTATATTCCTATTTACTATGTAGATGAAAGGAAGAAAATTATCTTGTGTTCACATTTATCTACTTTTCATTTTAAAATTTTACTTATTTATCTATTTTGAGAAAAAGTTTCTCTGGATCCCTGGCTGTCCTGAAACTTCCATGTAGATCAGGCTGCCCTCAAACTCCACAGAGATCTTCCTGTCTCTGCCCTCCTAGTGCTTGAATTGCTGATACTTGCAGCCTACTATTTCTAACTTTAATTTGGTTAGCCAGTGGGAACAGAGGATTTAGACTATGAGAAAACTATGAGAGGTTTGTATAGTGATGAGAATGATCTGGGGGTGGGAGGGAGGAGTAATGGTCTGAGGAGCAGATGAACAAAGCTGGGATAAAGGCACACAAGAGAATGGCCGATCTCATGACCTTCATTAGATACAGGTCTAATGAAGTTACATCCACTACCATGAGGGAGAGGGTATAAGGGTATGAAGCTGTTTCCAGTGAGGGACATGATTATATTCACCTCATGACTGCCTGGTTGTGGAGAAGGTCATGACTGCAGACAAGATGGGAGGAGAGAGTAAAGCCAACCCTGTGAACCAAGGACCAGGTGATGTCAGAGGTCCTGGAGGATAAACAGCCTCTAGGGACATTTCCCTTCTGAAGCAGTTGGCCATAGTGCTGCAAGACATAAAGGGGGTGGGATGTCTACAAAGTCAACATGGCACACTCTCCTTCCCTCAGAGGCCTCAGTGGTCAGAGCTGATGCTTTCTTGCTAGCTCTAGCCACCTTATGAGAGTCTTTTTTTTTTTTTTAAGACATGGTTTCTCTGGAAGCCTTGGCTGTCCTGGAACTCACTCTGTAGACCAGGCTGGCCTTGAACTTAGAAACCCACCTCCCTCTGCATCCAGTGTGCTAGGATTAAAGGCATGTAACACCATCACCCAACTGATCCTGAGGACTTTTTGGTGGCAAACAAGAGGACTCTACTTAAACAACTCTAGGCAAATACAGGGGGGGATGATGTTACATTCAGGTCACTGACACCATTGAAAGAGTTTGAAACCAGTATTATTTTGGAAATTCAAGGCAATTGATATTGGGACTGGTATAAACAAATTCAAGAGAGGCTTATAATTGGTCCAGCTCTGGTCACATGCCTAATCTCACACAAACCAATCACTGTGAAGGAGATGGGATACATTATTTGTACAAGGCTTTGTCACAGGGACTGTGACACAGGGACTACGCCATGAAAAGGAGTGATGTGTACAGAAATCACATCATAATTCCTGACAGAGTCTGGTCTACCAGATATCCTCAGGTTCTCGGCACTGGCTAGAAAGTTTTTAGACAAAACAATGACACTGACCCATCATAGGAAGAGTGGCTTACATGGAGCAAAACTAAATACAAATAGATAGTTGTGAAGGAAACTACGGCAGTGGGTTAGGAGGAAGATGAAGAGAAAATGGAAAGTGGTAGACAGCTTCACAATGCACTTAGGAGACAGGTGTGATGGGGACTGAGTGGGTAGGAAGGGAAGGGATAAGGAGATGCCACATTCTGCTGCATGGACAGTGGCATTAGTTACTAAGTGTGCTCTCTCTCTCTCTCTCTCTCTGTGTGTGTGTGTGTGTGTGTGTGTGTTGAGAAGTGGTGGCTTACACCTCTTCCCTTTGAAGTACTTCTAAACAGAAGAGAGCACTCTTGTTTTATAGAGTTTAGAAGAGATATCTCAGCAGAAGCTATAAATTTAAGAGTTTTGTATCAGTTGAGGAATTATACTCACTTCTGAGTACATGTGTGTATGTGTTTGCATGTGTGAAGGTACATGTATGTACATGTGCTATGTTGATGCCGGAGAACCTTGTGTATCATTTTCATTCAGGTTCCATCTACCTTGTTTTTGATACAGGGTCTTTCACTGTCTTATGGATCTCTGATTAGGCAAGCCCCAGATATTAACTTGCCTCTGCCTCCCTAGCACTGGGATTATAAGCCAATACCACCACATCTAGCTTTTTTGTTGTTGTTAATCATGGACACAAGATAAAACTCAGGTCCTCATATGCTTGCATGACAAGTACTTAACAGACTGAGCCCTCCTCTTCCCAGCCCCAGAATTGT